TTGTTGCTAAAACAGGTCAAGGTACTCCTGTTTAAAGGCATTTGATTGCACAGACGTGTAGGCACTGGTGTGGAGCCAAGTGGGGTGAGGCAGGCAAAGAGTTGGGTGATCACAAGGGCAGGTCAATCACATGGAGGACCTTGCTCAAACCTCTGCTGTCTCAGTGTGTTCACTACTGGGGTCCTTACTCAAATTCCTGTTGTCAATTTCCTACCCAATGGTTTTCTCAGTGTTCCCTGCCTGGTGGCACTTACACAGGTGCCCTCACACAACAGCCCCTGCTCCAGCAGGGTCCTGGATCTGACAGGATCAGAATAGTCAAGGTCAACTTCCCACCAACCCAGTAGCCTCTGGCTGGTCTGCAGAGTTCACAGAAGCCAGCTGGCTGGCTCGTTTTGGGTGGGAACCCAAGAGAGCTTGGCCAATTTCCACACCTGTGCGCAAGCCCTTAGTTGCTCTCCCAGATAATCAGCCCCAGTAAACACAGATAAGATCCTACCAGCCTTTCTTCTGCCAGGTTAGTTCCACAACAGCTCCGTTAATAGCTCCAAGTGATGGCTGGATCCGCGGTGGTGCCCTGACGTCACAGGGTTGTGGTGAGGGCTGAGGTGCGTGGAAACAAGGGACTAGGGTGGTAAGGAGCGCAGGGCTTGGACACTACCACCAAGAGGTGGGGGCGGGGCTTGGGCACTGCTAGTCAGAGGTCACACAAGTGCGGGCTGCAGGGGGGTCACACAGTGGCGGGTAGTGTTCGCTCCTCTGGAGTTCTGCGGTGGATGGCTGACTATTGCTCTTCCTGGGTCTCTTCCCGGCCCGTCTGGCGGCCAAACTCCGTCTGGCAGCAGAACTCCGTCTCTGGCAGCGGAACTCCTTTTCTGGCCTGGCAGATTTTTTCTGACCCTATATTTTGGTTACTAGTTTCAGTCATTTGGCTCTGTGTGTGTGTGTGTGTGTGTGTGTGTGTGTGTGTGAATAAAAATTATCTGACAGCTACGAGACATGGTGGTGTTGAATTTGTGTCATTTTGCATTAATAAATCTAACTCAGAAAGATAAGTATGCTATTCAGCTCACTACTATGTCTTTGTCAGTAGAGAAGAATTGTTTCTCCTGCTAGGTCAGGACATTAGGCCACACAGTCATTAAGAGATGGGGCAATTTTCCTACTTTAGGAGGTGAAGAGCACATGTTCCTCCAAATATGGGAGTGGCATGCTCCTAGTATCAGAGCCAAAAGGATGCAAGTCTGCCCTCAGGTGGAGCATGTACAGTAGAGAGGAGTATCATTTGCCACAAGGTGGGTGGGCACAGGAAATAATCACATTTCTGATAACTGAGAGAGTATGGAAATTGGGCAAGATCACAACTTTCTGGTTATCAGTCAGCCTGTAATATAAATGCTGATGCAGTCTTGAATTTTTACCTCAATCAGAAAACTTCCTGCAAAAATGAAAAAAAAATGTCTACTCTGTGTCAGGTATATTCATAATCCACCACTTCACTGGTCACTTTATCCAATGCTTTCATTCACTTTCTTCTTTTAGTTGATATTTGAACTGGCTTATCATTTCCTTTGAAGTATAGGGTTCTGGGAACAACATCCATATCAGTTATAATTGTTTCCTCATGTATTTGCTGTAGAAGGCTCTAGATGACTGCATGTCCTGTGCATCGTCTTACTGAAAGCCTTCTGCATGAGTCTTTCTCCAAGTACCAACTCCTCCTTGTAACATATGTAAAGTTTATGAGATGAAGTCTTGCTGTCTTCACTTCTAAAGAACATTCTGGCTGTATTTCTTCCAAGATAGACTTCATTGTTCTTTTGGTGGTCCATGCTGTATTAAATATTCTTTGCCAATACCACAATACAAAGACCTAACTTCTTTTTTAGTCTTCCTTATTCATTATTCAACTTGCACATATATACAAGACAATTGAAACTACCATGCTTTGGGTCAGACACACTTTAGGCCACAAAGTGATTTCTTTGTCCTTTTTCACCTTAAAGAGATTTTTTGCAACAGATTTGCCCACTAGAGAAAATACTTTAATTGGCATATCCAGCAGAGAGACAAGGCCAAGCATGGCTTCCTTGGCTCCTGGCTCCAGAGAGACACCATTGCTCTTCAGTACTTTGGAGAGGTCCCTAACAGCAGACTTTCCCATGGCAATGCGCCTTTTAATTTCCTGGCTGCTGGTGCCAAGACTGTTGACCAAAGAGCCAAGCAAACTAAAGCTGTGTACAATATCAATCTCTTCACCATCCATCCTGATGCTGCCAATTGGTCCAGTGGTGAGAATCTTGGTCTTCTTGACATTGAGCCTCAATCCATATCGTAGGCTCCAGTCCTTGACACTCTGCAGCAGGCGCTTCAGGCCCTCTTCAGTTTCAGCAAGCAGGGTTGTGTCATCCACATAACGCAGGTTGTTGATAAATTGTCCACCAATCTTGACCCCACATTTCTCCTCATAGAGCCCAGCCTCCCGGACAATCTGTTCTGCATATAGGTTGAAAAGATATGGAGATAGGATGCATCCCTGGTGTATGCCCTTCCCAATTTTGAACCATGCAGCGTTCCCTTGCTCTGTTGGTGACACCAACCTACCAACTTAATGATGCCATTGACAAGGGCTTCTTGTCCCTGTTCAACTTTTAGCAAAATATATATTCTTACATGCAGGATTACATCCATATCCTTTAGTTGGGTACATAGGAGCTGAAAGTACTGTAATGTTGTTTTGACATGGCTCTGTCTTATACTCACAACAAAAGAGTATTTCTTTAATGAATTTTATGTGGCTGTATCTTCTTCTGAGGTACAGGGAGCATTTTATGTCCTCTCCTGACCTGCTGAGAACATCCACTCGAGTAGTTAATGAAAAAGAAGGCATCTAATTTTCTTGTTTTAAATGTGAAACTGACAAAACAACTATGAGATATCATCTCACCCCAGTAAGAATACCAAATTCAACAGAATAGCAAACTGGAACCCTTATTCACTGTTGGTGGTAGTGTAAAATGGTGCAACCACTATGGAAGGCTGTATAGAACGTTCTCAAAAAGTTGCAAATAGAAATACCATTTGGCCCAGCAATTCCACTACTGGGAATTTACCCTAAAGAAACCATAACCACCACTCAAACAGATATATGTAGGTCCATGTTTATTGTGGATTTGTCCACAATAGCAAAGAACTGGAAACAACCCAAGTATCCGTCAACAAATGAATGGATAGAGAAGAGCTGGTATATTCACACAATGGAATACTATGCAGCATTGAAAAACAAGGAACTCATAAAACATTATGTAAAATGGATGACCCTGGAGGACATTATGCTGAGTGAACTATCTCAGTCACAAAAGGGCAAATATTGCATAGGGCCTTTGTTGTAAAACAGGACTTACATTGGGGTTGAGGGAAGGCAGAGAAGGAGGAGAGGAGTGATGTATACTTCAATGAAACAGATGAGGGAGAGAACTGTTTAAAAGGGATATGTGATTGGGTATTATTGTCATGACAGGAGTCTAGAATGAAGGCTGTACAGTGGAGTGGACTTTGGGGGGAGGGATTGCATAACAATGAAAGAGTTTTTCTTTTTATTTTCAAGGAGAAGAGTGAATCGGGGAGAGGAGGTGGGTAAGGAGAAAAGAGCAACAGTGAATGACTTGAAACCCTAATTCTCTGTAAACTTTCATTAAAATTAATTAAAAAAATCTTATTACCTATTGTAAAAAAAAAAATAAAGTGAAACTGAAAGCAGTCAGGAAATCAAAAGACAAATTGCACTGGGAAAAATCTGCTATCAGGGGTCTCTCCAGAGTACTGAAGAGCAATGATGTCAGTCTAGAGACTAAGGGCATCCACTTCCAAAACACGCCTCCAGAAACTCTATGAACTTTGATAAATATTTATAGTTATAGAAAGGCTCCAGGCCTTTTGTTCATAGGGTCGCTATGAGTCGTGTTCAACTCAAAGGCAATCAACAACTAGAGACTAAGGTGTGCCTGATCCAGGCTATAGTCTTCACAATTACTTGCTGTGTATCAGAGGGCTGGACAATGCCTAAGGATGGCAGAGAAAGAATTTACGCCTTTGAGTTGTAGTGCTGGAGAAGAGTCTTGAACATACAATGGACTACCAAGAAAAAAAAAACAGGTCTATCTATCATTGAGAGGGCAAAACCAAGTTTCTTCTCGGAGGCTAGTATTTTGAAGTTCTGTTTCACATACTTTGGGCACATGGCCAGGAGGGATTGGTCCTTGGAGAAGAACATGCTCAGAACGGTAGAGGGACAGCTCAGGAGAGGAAGAACTTGGATGAAATGGATTGATATAGTAACTGGGGCAATGGGGGGTAGTTGTGTCAGAGTCAGTGAGACTGACTGTCTCAGGACAGGGCAGGCTTCAGAGCTGTTGTACATAGGGTTGCCGTGAGTTGCAGATAACTGTATGGCACATAGCAAAAACAAGAAAAACTGAAAGTTTGGCTTTTGATAAATTTATATGTGCAATTTCACATATTCATTAAACTGAGAACTAAAAAAAAAAAATCTGGAGGTACAACCAGGTTTCCAAACAACGACATTAACTTCAGTGATGACTTTGAAAGCCAACACTCTCCCATTTTTAATTTCACCTCACCTATGCTTTTTACTTTTTACAGACTGGAATTATCAATGCTTCTGGCAACTATATGTTATTAGTGAGGGATTGTGCTTTGTTATTAGATCACATTTTATTATTTCCTTCAGCTCAGTATGTACCTGATATTGGAGAGCTCTCCCTATGGGTCAAGAATGAGAGATACTGCCAATGCTGTGATTTTATTGTCTGTGTGGGCCTGTTTCCCCCGAGCCAGATGAGAAACCTGGCATCATGAAGGCTGTTGGAGAAGCTGGTGTAGCCATACTCTGACTGACCTGGCTGTGGTAAGATCACGATCAACTTAGTTTGGATCACAGGACAAGAGGCAGCTTCTCCGAGATGATGGTGCTGATGAGATCAGTAGGCATTTAGCACAGCTATCCTGGCCTGTTCGCAGAGTGGGTCCAGTTTACCATCACCTCCTAAAAACACACACACACAAAATTGTCCTGACAGTAAACCAGTCACCTTTGAGTGGTAATTATTTGCAACGTTTGGAGTGTGCATACAGAGCATAACAGTGCTCCATAGGGTTTCAGTCACTGTGTTCTTTTAGAAGACCTCCGGGCCTTTGCTTCAAGGGTGGACTCAAATTGCTAGCCTTAACCATTTGCATCACCTAGGTTAACCAACCTTAGATATTTAGTGGATTGCACAATCAGTGAATCCCGCACACAGAAGTCTGCTAAACCAGAGATTCTCAAGAGAAGCAGTAAATCTCTAGCCTATTAAAGATAATGTCACACACTACTGGCCTATTGATTTAGTTGTCTCAACAAATGTAGACATAACAATAAAATGGGGAAAGAACTATTCTGAAATGCAAAAACAAAACAAAACTCTATCATTCCTAAAGTTCTGTCCTCTCCTCTGATGTCTAGCACAAAAACTTCACGTTCTTGCTATCATCTCTTCTGTTCCCAGTGCCTTGGAAAGAAACTCCAGAGCTGGAAGCAGTTACTGTGTATTCATGTGTTACAGAGGACAAGGCTTCCATGATGCAGTTAAAACCTGGAAAGAAACATTGTTTGCACTGGGTACAAGGCTTTGCTTACTTGAAAACTGAGGAACTTTGCACAGAAGGCTCAGGCTTACCAAAGTCCAGGTCATTAATGTTGCACTGGAAGACAACTTCTCCATTCACTAGCAGCTCCACCACGTTCCAGTCATCTACCTTCTCTAAAATGACTCTGTGACCATCTTGGGTTAACATGGCTGAAAAGGAGAGAGTGGAAATGGATGAGACAAAGACACTCATTAGATTAGATTAGCCCGTTACTCAGATATCTTCATTGATAATAGAAGCTGTTCTGCCAGCGCGAGGGCGACGCAGCGCGAGGGCGACGCAGCGCGAGGGCGACGCAGCGCGAGGGCGACGCAGCGCGAGGGCGAC